AATGCCCGGCAGACAGAAATTTCAAAGATTTTCTACTAAAAGGTTCTTTCAAACTTTTAACGAATATAAGATGTTTGTTTTTAAAAATGTCAAGCGATTCCAAAAATTAATTTGGTTTTCAGTGGACACACTCTCCGTGCTTGATAGTCGACACTTTCAAATTGCATACCTCTGATCAGACTGCCGGGCACTGAAAGGTTCCTGGAGACCTCCTAAGAGTATAAGCTTTTTGTTAGAAAAGATCAAGCGGTTCCAAAAATTAATTTGTTTTTCAGTGGACAAATCTCCCCATATCCCATAACTCTCTCACATTACATTTTCTGATTTTTCCCTGTTTTTAGGGTGCTAACCTTCAACAACATCACTCACATTAACAGACGCACATTCAGTGGACTTTCCAGCTTGACCACACTGTAAGTGTCCTCTATGTAAAGGGGGTAAGTTTCTAAAGAAACTGTAGTGCTGCGTCGGTGGGAGAGTAGAGCAGATAATTCAGTGTTAACAACTGAGTTGAAAGCGTAAATTAGCCATCGCAAAGGGTAAAAATTTTCAAAATTCAGGATGTCAATTTTAAACTTTTTAAACATTTGCACGAAATTAAAGCCCAAAAACTCGACCAACTTATCGGCCCTCAAATTACTAGCGACTCATTGCCTGAAAACCTCAAAACTGTAGTTACAATTCCCGAATATTTACTACTTTCCGACTCAGAAAAATCAGTTCTCAGTAAGGGCTCAAATTTTGTTCTCATTTCCAAAAAAAATCGACGAATCTTTAGTTAAGCAAGACGTTGAAAAATCCCTTCCCCGCGTTCAGTTGAAAGCCTTTTTTCATGACAAAGAGGATGATTCTAACTTCTCGAAAAAACATACTTTCGTAGCACTTCAGATTCCAAAATGTCGTCACGATATCAACAAACTTAAATTCAATCGTAACACCAAATTTTCCAATCTTTCTTCGGAAGAGTGGTCGGCACTAAAAAGTCTAAAAAAACGCAAAGATATAGTCATTAAAACGGCCGACAAAGGCGGCGCAGCTGTTGTTTGACGGGCTGACCTCTACCAAAAAGAAGCTTTGCGGCAACTTTCTGAAACCTCCTTTTATGCTTAAGTCGACAAAGATCTCACTGATTAACCAAAACATCGTCAAGAATACAATTAACGATCTTTAGCTAAACAAGAATTGCCTGCCATTTCCAAAAATCTCGCCATCATTACTCCCAGAACTTCGCGTATTTACTTTTTACCTAAAATCCACAAACCTAACAATCCAGGTCGACCTATATTTTCTGCCTGCAGTTGTCCCACCGAAATTATTTCCAGCTATTTAGACAAAATTATGGCAACTATCGTCAAAACTTTACCATTTACATTAAGGACAGCCGACACGCGCAATTGAAATTTTTCGTGACTTTAGTTTCCTCGGCCAAACAAAGTTATTTTCTTGTATTTATGTATATAATATCTCTTTATACTGTCATTCCCAATGACGAAGGTCTCCGGGCCCTCCAACGTTTTTTCGATCACCGCACTGTTAAGGAACCTAGCTCTGAATAACTACTCCGTTTGGCCGAACTAGTACTCACACTTAATCGCTTTTCATTCGGTGGCAACTACTACAAACAAACTAATGGCGTTATCTTCCAGGTTCCACATAATCGTTTTCTAAATTGTAAAACATCAAAAATATGTCTACCTAATAGTTTTAATATAGCCATTTCAAAAAATTCTGAACCAAACTGGCTTACTACTCGACAACGGAAACTCCCATTCAGACCGGTGACGTCACTTCTTTCCAGGGTGTTGCTGTAATTGTACAAATCTCTGTCAATTATGTTGTTTTCCTTAAACCTGTGTAAAAAAAAATTCCTTAACAAATTACATCCAACCAAAGATATAGCTTATATCTACATTCGAATTATACATAGAGCTGACGAACACGTTTTGTGTTAACTATCTTATATCAGCACCTTAGCAACGTTGTCGTTGATATAAATGTTTGAACAAACACGAGAAACCTTGAAAATTGTTTAAAGATCAATAAAACGTTTAAGATGTTAAAGAGGTTCTGTCGGAAATGAGACTAAAAAATCTGCTGTGTTCCGAAACTTCACGTTTTATTTTATAAAATCAACTTGACCTCCCTCTCTCTCTCACACCGTTCTCGTCTCACTCTCTGGTCTCTCTCATGGGTACTCAAATGGGGCCCAGCTACGCCAATCTTTTCGTAGGTTTTATCAAACGTCGATTTTTTAGTCAATACCACATCCATCACACGTCAAGAACTCCATACCTTTATCACAATTTCTCAGACTTCGTCGTTTATGTAGCGACTCTGATTTTTTCGAAAAAACAGAGGGAGTGTGCCAGTTTTTCGATACTTTATCACAATTTCTCAGACTTCGTCGTTTATGTAGCGACTCTGATTTTTTCGAAAAAACAGAGGCAGTGTGCCAGTTTTTCGATACTTTATCACAATTTCTCAGACTTCGTCGTTTATGTAGCGACTCTGATTTTTTCGAAAAAACAGAGGCAGTGTGCCAGTTTTTCGATAAACGTGGCTATTCTGTTTCTGTCGTTCAAGCGGGGCACCATCGGGCCCAACAAATTGATCGACAGTCAGCACTACAAACGGCTGAGAAGGAACACACTGACCGAATTCCATTCACTCTTACATTTCACCCTCACAACCTCCCGGTTACATCTATCATTCTTAAAAACTTTTAATTACTCCAAAATGACTCAGAGACTGGCACTATCTTTCCGCAACTCCTACTTATTTCATTCAAACGTGACAAAAACATAGGCAAATTTTTGGTCAGAAGTTCATTTCAAACTAATGACCAATCTGGAACTTTCAAATGCGCTCGCTCACGATGCAAAACTTGTCCCTTCATTCATAACGTAGAGAAAATATCGGGACCCAAGAGATCCATTAAGATCACTGATCACTGTATTTGTACCTCCGCCAATGTCATTTACAGGAAGACGACCAGGTGACCGATTCCGAGAACACCTTCGCGAAGTGGAAAGAAATGACAAGGACGCATCCAAACCAGTTGCCAGACACTTTAATTTCCCTAATCATTCAAAACAGCATATGGCAGTTTGCGGCCTCTCCTAACATCTAGGCAGTTCGGAAAGCCGCAAAACACTAGAACAAAAATTTATGTTGCAAATTGGCACCCTTAATCCCCACGGAATCAACGAGCGTTTTTTATTCAACTAATTTATTCCTGTTTTCTCGTCGCCATATTTCCTCCAATAGCGTAGCTCCACCTTCTGCATATAAACCCACACACAAGCCACAATTCCTCCAATCGCTCTGACGAAGGGTTAACGCTCGAAACCTCAGCTTTTTTACCCTTTACGGTGGCCAATTTACGTTTTCAACTCAGTTGTTAACACTAAATTACCTGCTGTCCTCTGTATACTTTTCTAAGGAGGCGTAAGTCAGGGCTTTGAATAGCGTTCAAGTTTTCCACGAACGTTGTAGTAGGTATAGTAGGTGTATAGTGGCGTAGTAGATCATGTGCTCGGAGAGGAAGGGGTCAGGGGGCATTGTCCTTCGGAGAAAAATTGAAATCCAGAGCTCAAAAATGTAATTTCCATCATTCTGAGCATTAAAAAGAGTATTTTTTTGTCATAATTTCCATTGAAACCTTTGTAATTTACAAGCTATTCCTGACCAATCAAAAAGCTTCGTTGTGGAGCGTTCGTGTTTAAAAGAAGCAAATTCGAAAATCAATGCCTGGCAGGGAGGCTCCCATTTCAAGACTACCCCTTCCTCTTCCCCCTGCCGGCTCGTTACTCACTCGTTTGAAAGCCCACGCGAAACCCAAACGCAAGAGCCTGCCTACAAGCTAAACGGCGGTAAGAGGTCTGATGGGGAGCGATAGATCACCAGTTACTTGCTTTTACTAAAAGTAAAAGAATAGCAAACTATAGCAGTGCGTCCACTGTAGTGTAGGAAACAAAAGAGTCGCTGTGCTGCATGTAAAAGGGTTTTTAGTCATAATATAAATGATAAAAAAACCTCTCAACCTCTAATAAGTTCGCAACTTAAAAGCTTTACATTGATTTCAAACATTGTTTCATAGATTCAGGCACATCAAAATGTTTCATATATCCTCTTCATCAAAATTTCGGAAACGCAGTGTTGCCATAGCCTCGTAAAAACCGTAGGTTATATTAATTTCACAAAAATGTATTGAACAAGATCCACATTTCCAGTGTCCACGGGCAATCTACCAGCGGAAATGTAGGAAATAAATAATTTTTTTTCAATTTTAATTCATTTACCTATGTAACTATGATAGATGGCACATTTGTAACGTCATGTCCATTATCGTCTGCCATATAAGTCAGAAGTTTGCTATTCTTTCTATTTTACAGACTGCTGATCAAAAACAAACTTACATTTATTGCCAAAGACGTTTTTGATGAGACTCCCAGCCTGAAATCATTGTAAGAATATACTTTGGTTCTGAGATTTCCGGTAATGCTGTATCATGTGCAAAGTCAAGAGAGGATATTCTCTCTTGGTATTCTAGATAAGCCTACTACCATATCTATTCTGTTAACACAATGATAATTTTTAAAAAAATACGTAATTGCTCGTATTTCGAAATCACTTGGAGGTGTTCCCACGTCCTGTTTTTATTTTAAAATATATTGTAAAAGATGATACGTGTTTCTGTTTTTAAAATAAATAACAGTTGTCGTTGATAAGAGAATTTTTTTTCTCTCCTTCTTTCTTCCTTCTCTAAATCAAAATTTTTTTTTTTTTAACTTTGATAGTTATTTGATTATCAGCGTAATATGGGAATAACCAGAACCAATTTCGAGGGTAAAGTATGCTGAGAACTATCAAAATGGCTTTGAAATTCCGTCAAATATTCATACCCTTATTCCGAATTCCAATTTGCAATGCATATACGACATCTTTATGTTTGTTGCGCAAGTGGATAATTGCTTCAACCAAATAAATTTTTCCCGTAGGTTTCTTCACAGTAATGCAATTACAAACATTGAAAGGGAGACTTTTGACAGACTCGACCTGAGCCAGTTGTGAGTAAATTGAAGAATAGAATGATTTCCTTTGAAGCTAAAACTTGGAATGTGATACATTAACAAACTAAAATGTTTTATTGTTTTTTCTTAGCGGTTGTTAAGGTGTCAGTAGATGCCATACACATAATTAAAACTCACACCCCCATATCAGGAGCTTTAGCATAACATATCTTGTTTAATGGGTATACACGCGCTTCATTTTCAGAACCATCTTTGATAATCCTTTAAACTCATTACCAGACGGAATATTCGACGGAATGGCAAATGGAACTCAAGTGTAAGTCAAGCCGTATGGCTTAAAAGCTATATACATATAAAGTGTAAAATTTTGACTTTCGTAAAACAGTGCTCAATACACAGGAGCAGAGCGATGTATATATTGTGGGAGGAAAAAGACAAATAAAGCACAAGTTCATCCCTACAAGCCTGTTTCGTGATTGCCCACTCATCAGGGGATTTAATGAGAGTAATCTTTACCATCGCCTATATACAATACAATCTAATTTATGCAGCGCGAAATTAAACAATTTAGTTGTTGCGTGAGAGGGCTTTGTTTCTGTGGCGGCAGGAAGACACGAGTTCATTGCGTTTGTTTAGTGTTAATAGTTCGGGTCGGCAGATGATTAGGAATTGTTCTCTGAGGCAGAAATTACATCTTTTACTTGAGCTGTTGTACGGCAACTACGAAACAGGCTTGTTTATTTGTCTTCTTCCTCCCACTAAATATATATATATATATATATATATATATATATATATACGTTACATTTGTCGAATTTGTGTTAATTTTTTTACGGCTTCACGTTCTTGGCTATATTGGTATACGTATAAAGTTTCTCGAACCGGTCTTTTGTTTTTTTTTAACCTTAAATAGCTTTCATTATCCAGTAAAAAAAAGGGGGAGAGTTGGGGGGTAGGGTAGATAAAACAAGATGGATTTTCTTCCAAACAAGTTGCTTAAAGACCCTTAAAGCTAAGGAAACCCGAGTATGCGGTGGCGACGATATCACCTGCCACAATTCTATTAACCAAAATCACGTCAGTATTTATACCCAAAAGTTTTATATTCAGTTTATTGTACAAACTATGTACAGGGCATTGACGTGTAAAAATCTTCGTCAGCTGCCTCTGGATAAATATGTGTCTAAAATGTAAGTACGCCTTAAGTTTCATTTTCTTCTCACGCTATAGAATGATAAACATCTGCACTGACGTTCTATTTTGACTACAATTCTTTCAACATTTTTCAATTAGCATTTCACAGATTTCTTCTTCCTTTCCATTACAGAAGGTATGAAAATAACCAAAAAAAAACTGTAATCAACTTTTAAAACAACTATTGATCTTGGTCATTTCAACTTGTCGAGACTTATCAGTGCCGTCGACTTTGGCTATTGATCTCTTCACGGTAAAATCACGACATTGTTTTCAACCTAGTTTTTTTATTCATTGTCATTGCCCAATCAATCCTCAGTGAGTGTGCTCCCACGACATCTCTGCACGTCATTTTGGACCACTACCAAAGTATCTTCAGTTCATGCTTTACACGCTCAGGTTTTGTGTGCCATGACTGTACATCCCGCGAAAAACACAGTGCACCAATCTATTGTGCAAATTGCAGCCTATGTCCAGTTGGTACCTACTCGTGTACTGATGGATCCCTCTGTCTACCGTGTCCTGCAGGTAACGAGAAGAAACAATTACTTTATCGTTGATATAAGTATCGTAAAAAGACAAGTAATAAGGAATCACTTTATTTGTCTGGCTAGATCATTATATCTAGTCATTATTCTTTCCTTAGTGAATTTTTTTAACTTTGGAGATGTCTTATGCAATTAAACGATGCTGGTATACTGTGTTATGGCTTACTCTAGGGTATACTTCTTTTATCACAAGTGAATTGGAAACCAACAATAATTTTGATAATTCAATGTAATAGTTGATTCTCCTTTATATGCTCAGACAATCCGCCCGTAGAACCGTATCCATGTTCTATGATATCTTCACAGGGGGTTTTTATCAGGATGAAATGGGACAAGATGGTTGCAAAAGATGCAGCATTAGTATATTTGTTTCTGAACAGCGAAGTCCTGGGAATACAGCTGCCGACTGCGTGGCATGTCCATACATTCTTAGCAAGAGCGAAAATAAAGACAAATTTCAGAAAAAAGGAACACCTTACCGTTTTTAACGCTTTCGAGTAAGATTTCAACTACATGTATAAATGATGAACTCCGTCTTTTTTTTTCTACTTCACAGGAAACGGAATTCTACATGTGAAGTCAATTTGGCGGTACGTTACCTTCAAGCCGATCCGATGTTTCAGGTTCCTTCGTCAGGGAGTATCACGTCCCAAGAATAGAGTGGTCACAAAAACAGGAACATCCGATGAACTTTCACACTTGATTGAAGAAAGCAACTGAAGAACTTCCCCGAAATATTTGTCTTAAAACTTTTTTACTATGCCTCATGAATATCTTGCTCTAGGTGGCTCAAACGCCTAGAGCTTTCGTTGAAATCTCTCTGGCTATTGTAAGACTCCTGGGTGACATTTCATTGTAACTAAAGGCACTAGCTACTCCTACAAAGGCTGTGTTCTTCAAAATGCAATGCATAATGTTTTTGATCTCTGATTTAAAGTGCAACAAAAAACGTTGAAAATTATATCAAGGTTATTTTTGAGTAAAAAACAATTTTTTGGTTAGTTAAGAAGTAGGATTCCTCGCACCTTCGAGCATATATGACTTTGATGCACCATATATATTTAAGCAATAAAGCACACTTTCTATCAGTTTGCCGACGTAATGGCTACTGAACTAATTGCTCTTTGAATTTTTTTATATATAAAGTCAAACCTTTATTCGTTTGAAGCATATAATAAAAACTTCAAATGGCGTATCACCTTAAATTTGGACAAAGACCGGGCTGTACCATTGATATTAAATACACTCGGCTTTACTTTTTTTTTGGGTTAGTTCTGAGATATTCAGCCTCATAGCACGAGTCTCACACCACGAATCTGTTTTTTTTTTAAACTGGTTTTAAAAGATCCAATTTTAGATCAGTATTTGGACAAAGAACTTCCATTTCTAAACGTTAAATACTTGTACAAATCTCTCATTTCGATTTTTTTTGTTCTTCTGGCGTGACTAAATTTGTTGATAGCTGCTAACGGTCTCTAGGCCTAGTTCAATCTTTTGCTTTAAAGAAGCTCATTCGGTGGCAGATTTTTAAGTTTGCAGATCCAGGCGTATTCTTTCTCTGTCTTTAAGTAACTGTGTCTGGTGAATATTTTCTGTCCATTCCCTCGTTGACTGATAAACCTAGTGGAGGGTAAATATTTTGCTCCTTTTACAACGAGCCAGATTTTTCCCCTATATCTTTACATCGCCAGTTGTAAAGAAATGAGACTCGGGATGAATTGAGGAATGTCACAGTCTCGGCTAGAGGGTGCAACAGATAATAATACAATGCATCATTTTCAATCACGATATTAATCAGGGAGGTTGTCATGAGTAACGAATTACAAAGCACTCAAGCGTCTCGCGTGTGTTCAACGTTTGCAGCTGTTGCGTCCAATTTATTTTTGGCTGTTGTTGTCGCCCGCGTGAATCTCCATGTTCACTTTATTTTGCGCGTGTGAATTTGTCATTCGTGACACTTTATTATCTTAGATATCTTGAAAGGTAATGCCATATCTAACACATGTCTAAATCCAATGAAACTGGAATTAATTGGAGAAAAAAATCGTCGTTCGTCGTTTTATACCTTCAATGCTCTGTAAGTAACTTTAAAGATTAGAAAACGAGAGCACTGCAATAGAAAATCAGTTTGATTTTGCCAGCAATGTAAACAAAAAAAGCTAGTTGGACAACTAAACCGACCAAACCGTCGCTAAGAGCACCGAGAAAATACATATGTTAAAGACAGTTCGGAGAGCAGAGAATTTGGGAATAACTACCAGCAAGAGGCCATGCCCCCGGTATGGCTAAGACTACCAGCACGGTATTGACGACGCAGATGGCGAGGACATAATCATGTAGTGTTGATAATAGCTTGAAGCTGACAGCTCTTGAGAGAGGGTTGAGTCTAGGCAAGGTGTTTTTGTTTTCATCGGTGGAGTTTATATGATATCGCGATGTATGCCATTGATGAAGTTATTTTGGTATCTACTCTGATATTGAAAACGTCAGCTATAATTAATTGCGGAATGGAGCTGCCATATTGTTTAACAGTATGTTTTATGCTCACAATAAGCCTAAAAAGTTTTACAGTGACAGCAATTTTATATTCGCGTCTATTGATAGAAAGGATAAATTGGCTGATATAGCTAAGATAAAGAAAACTCTGAAGTTAAACTTTATTCGAGATTTTGACTGAGAGGAAAGAAAACATGCATCAATACATGCACGCGCGATGAAAATTTAACAGCCCTTTTTGTTACCGTATTTACGTCCGGTCCCGTTCGAAGTCAAAAGTAAATGCATGCATCGAGATGTCGTAGTTCCTGATACTTTACCTTTTATAGAATATTCCTTTTTTATCGATCTTTGTGCAAGTTTATACACACAACATGTGGATCTCTTCGGGCTTTCCAAGTTACTCTTAACACACAAAGTAAGCAAACTAAGTCAGTTCTGGATGATTTCTGTCCTTATTTGAATTCCAAACAGTTGTTCTTGAGGGACAGTCGTGATCATACTTACAATACAAAAGCAGTTAACAGGAATTTAGTCCAATGGTTAACGATCGGTGGACTAAAAGTGTTCTTTAATACTATTCACTGTAGTGCCACTCGCTTTCTTCCTTTTGTTCCAAGTTTTAAGACTGAAATTTCACCATTTAGAGCTTAAGAAAAGCACCTATTGATAATCAAATCAAGTCTAAGTGATAAGAGACAAGCAGAGAAAACACTATAGGTTATGGATACGAAGAAAAAAGGCAAGAAAGTGGAGAATAAAAAGTGTTTTCTTGCTGAAGCTATCGCAAAAGTTTTTCCTGATATGACTTATTATGAATAGGATTTTTAAAAAAATTTAGTCCACAAGAGGTAATTTAGTGTTAACAACTGAGTTGAAAACGTAAATTAGCCACCGTAAGGGTAAAAAAGCTGACGTTTCGAGCGTTAGCCCTTCGTCAGAGCGAACTGATCGAAATGATCATCGCTCTGACGAAGGGCTAACGCTCGAAACGTCAGCTTTTTTACCCCTACGGTGGCTAATTTACGTTTTCAACTCAGTTGTTAACACTAAATTACCTGCTATACTCTCCCACCGACGCAGCACCACAGTTTCTTTAGAAACTTACCCCTTTATTCATTAGTCTACAAGAGTTTGATCGCTCTCATTCCCATGAGGAACGAGCGGAATCAAAAGCGTTTTATGGGTCACACACTTTATGATAGGAATAAAATATTACCCCACTCAAGTGAATAGAGCGATTAAAGTAGAGAATAGATCACAGCATGCACTCATCAAAAGTCTTAAATGTCGTGTATGGAAAGTTAAACTCGGTAAAGAAATGTTACTTAGTTTTCCTTTTGACAAGGAATTGTCTTTTTAACGGGTCGGCAATAATAACTTTGCAGCTGCCATTAACTGCACTGAGACATTGTGAAATGACGACATATAGTGAACGCCGAACTTCACTGATACTATTCATATTTCATGTGGTTTTCCGGTGAATTGAAAATTCCACTTTCTCTCTTTTCTTTTCCAATCAGCACACACCACCGAGTCCTAAGTAAGCTATGCTATGTACCAAAGCAAATCACTGAAAAGTACAGAGCCTTCCGCTTTTATTTTATCAGCAACAAACGGCCCTATGCGACAAATATGGATGATGTTTTGTCACGAAAGGTTCCTTTTTTTTCTTTGAAACATAGGACACGGTGAACTTTAAAAGTATTATTTACTGAGCCGGAAAGAAAACAGCTGAGCGTCCGGTAAGCAAAAGCAAAGACAGGCAAGTAGACTTTTGGTTTTGAGATTTGCTTTTGTGCAATAAACTTTTCAGTCAAGAAATATTTTGGTCAATGGCTTGGTATTAGACACGCTATGCAATTCACCACAACAGATAACTGAACCACACAGATTAGTCCTCCCGTGTTTCTATTTACATCTGTGTTTGAACCGTCGGACTTTTAAGGAAGCATTATGTGTAGGGAGGGGTTCAAACCTTCCCGTATTCTTAGCTAGGTCTCTTGGAAAATCTCTCTTAATCAAATCTAAATAATTTCTGCTACAGTTTACCATTTTTTGAGCGAGTTGATCAACTCTCTTGATTGTTACCTGTTTTGGCTGCCTAGTTTAGATTCCACGCTGTTTCATTCATGAGTTGATTCCCTCACCTCAAGAATTTAATCTATGAGTTTACTCAAAATTACTGAGCAGAGTTATCTATAATGATTGTCGTTAGATTTTGAAATTTTGTTTTACAATATCAGCGATTGCAAGAAGACTCTTTTAATGTCCTCCCTGCCTAAGCGAATTACTTTCCCTCATGCTTCGCGTCTTTCTCTTGAGTCTTGACTCATACTCGTCTCCTAGAGTACCTTTCCAACAACTTCACTACAGAGAAACATTACGCTCTTTTAATTAAAAAGTAGAACTTTTCCCTTATAGCTTCAAGTCTATAACAGATTGAAGAATAGAATGAAAGAAGAATGTGTCAATTAAAGCACAATGTAAACACATAGATTTATTTACGACTCTCATCTGTTCCTAGAAAAGAACAGATCCAAGCATGACACACGTTGCTAAAAATCACCATAATCGTAATGATAATGATCACCACCATCATTATTATTCTGTCATAGTGCGCAGTCAATGTGATGATAACAAAAGTAATTAAGAGAGAATGCCTTTTGAAACAACTGAAAAATTCACGAGAGCCAGCGTATGTTGAAATGAGCCTACAAAAATATTGAAAAGAAGATTACGTAGTGCTCGACTGGAAACCATTATATTAATGGGGAGTAACTTTTCAAAGAAATAATGGCGCTGCGTATATGGTGGTCTTAACAGGATAATTTGGTTTTAACGAGAGATTTGATTTTTTATTTTTGTCACTCTATTTTGGAGACTTAGCACCAGCAGGTAAGCTGCACAGATCTGAGGAAGAAATGCATAGACCATCGTCCCTGTCCCTGACAATAACCTTGCCGTTCGAGATCAATTCGTATTGCATTATCGCTTGAAGAAGATCCACAATTATACGAAGCAAGTATCTGTTGTGCATGCCCTACCCCCCTTCCCACCCCCGAAAAGCTTCTCCTCTGATTAACCCCCGTCTGGAAGCCTTGGAATTTCATAAGCCTCTTCTCCCTCCTAGTGTTTACAATATTCAGATATAAAAATTGATAACATATAATAACGCCCCTATATTCAATCTACATCAACTTACCAGGTGTAAATGTTACACTGACATTGACAAGAACACCAGTGGGAATGAAAGGCCAATAAGAAACTTTAAACGTCGGAGTCTTTTCATACTTTACTAAAAAGAATGCAACAATGAAGGTTGAGTTTCAATGCTATTTTGACGCGTCGAGAAATTCTGCACATAAAAATATAATAGCTAAAAGTTTCTAAAACCTTGGACCACAGAGAAACAAAAACAGTTTACAGTTCAGTCACCAGTTAGTCAACGATTGATATGATTCTTATTTCTTCATACTTTTGGGCTTGGAGTGGAAGGTTTTTAGGTGGGATCACACGGGAGGGG